GAGGGGTGAAATGGGACTGGGCCTTTAAGTAATTCTGCTGAGTAATATTATCCCACTCTATGGACAGATAATTTTGCTGGTTTTAAGCATGTTTCTTACAATAAGCAAACATATCTGCCAATATGAGATAATCTGCCTTACTAAAATAACCCAAAACAAGTAAAAATGTTTAGAATAGTGTTGAATAATCTTATCATGATGTTACGACAATCTCAAAATGAAAAATATTAGATACATTAACTAGATTTAAAATAATTTCACTCGCCAAGACACCATTTTTTGCAGTGTTGAATCATCAATCTTGCTGTAGCTCAAAAAGAATTAGACTTCAAGACAGCAAGACAGTCAATGTAATCAGCTTGTGCTCATTATGAATGACTGCATACTAGCTAATTGCTAGTTAGCAAGCAAGCTTACTTTACTGTAACGTATTTACTGTTTGGCACTTTAGGCTCACCTGTTTTCTGGAAGAAACCCCTCAGCAGTTCTCTGCCGTCTGTCAGCTCTCTCTCTTCTTGCACTTCTATAATCCTAATTTTGGTTTTGATTTCATTTTGGTTTCAAAATTGGCGAGAGCCACCGTCTGCTCTCTTTACCTGCTTTACTTACACCGGAGGATCCAACCACTTTTGCCACTATCATGGAAGTTAGTATTTATGTCTATAATAACAGAAAGTATCAAACTTGGTGACTTCAGAAACCAAAATCTATTTTTTGGAGGTTTTGGAGGACCAACAGAACGGTGCATCAGTAACTGAGACACTTAGCTAATGCACAGAGCCCGTTTGTAGAATTCTGTGTATTTGTGTTCTAGAGCATTTATGGTGTATAGCTTTCTGGAGTAGAACTGGCACACAGTGTTTTACTGTCGCCTCTCACTGTTCTAGAACCCAAGTACTGTTACGGGAGCTGTCATTTGCTTTAGCAATTTTATAGAGAGGCAGCCGATCTGTAACTACAGCAACAACCATTATCTGCCTCTCATATAAAGACCTTTATAGAAGTGTAAAGTAAATACAATCAGATTACACATCAAGTGTGTTTACACTTAATAGTCTGATAACTGCAGAAAATCAGACTGTGTCAGTAACTAGTTCAGTGCGTTTACACTTAACAATCTGATAACTGCAGAAAATCAGATTGTGTCAGTAACTGGTTCAGTGTGTTTACACTTAACAATCTGATAACTGCAGAAAACCAGATTGTGTCAGTAACTGGTTCAGTGTGTTTACACTTAATAGTCTGATAACTGCAGAAAATCAGACTGTATCAGTAACTGGTTCAGTGTGTTTACACTTAACAATCTGATAACTGCAGAAAATCAGATTGTGTCAGTAACTGGTTCAGTGTGTTTACACTTAATAGTCTGATAACTGCAGAAAATCAGATTGTGTCCGTAATTGGTTCAGTGCGTTTACACTTAACAATCTGATAACAGCAGAAAATCAGATTGTGTCAGTAACTGGTTCAGTGTGTTTACACTTAACAATCTGATAACTGCAGAAAACCAGATTGTGTCAGTAATTGGTTCAGTGTGTTTACACTTAATAGTCTGATAACTGCAGAAAACCAGATTGTGTCAGTAACTGGTTCAGTGTGTTTACACTTAATTGTCTGATAACAGCAGAAAATCAGATTGTGTCAGTAACTGGTTCAGTGTGTTTACACTTAATAGTCTGATAACTGCAGAAAATCAGATTGTGTCAGTAACTGGTTCAGTGTGTTTACACTTAACAATCTGATAACAGCAGAAAATCAGATTGTGTCAGTAACTGGTTCAGTGTGTTTACACTTAACAATCTGATAACTGCAGAAAACCAGATTGTGTCAGTAATTGGTTCAGTGTGTTTACACTTAATAGTCTGATAACTGCAGAAAACCAGATTGTGTCAGTAACTGGTTCAGTGTGTTTACACTTAATTGTCTGATAACTGCAGAAAATCAGATTGTGTCAGTAATTGGTTCAGTGTGTTTACACTTAACAATCTGATAACAGCAGAAAATCAGATTGTGTCAGTAACTGGTTCAGTGTGTTTACACTTAATAGTCTGATAACTGCAGAAAATCAGATTGTGTCAGTAACTGTTTCAGTGTGTTTACACTTAACAATCTGATAACTGCAGAAAATCAGACTGTGTCAGTAATTGGTTCAGTATGTTTACACTTAATAGTCTGATAACTGCAGAAAATCAGATTGTGTCCATAATTGGTTCAGTGCGTTTACACTTAACAATCTGATAACAGCAGAAAATCAGATTGTGTCAGTAACTGGTTCAGTGTGTTTACACTTAACAATCTGATAACTGCAGAAAATCAGATTGTGTCAGTAATTGGTTCAGTGTGTTTACACTTAACAATCTGATAACTGCAGAAAACCAGATTGTGTCAGTAACTGGTTCAGTGTGTTTACACTTAACAATCTGATAACTGCAGAAAACCAGATTGTGTCAGTAATTGGTTCAGTGTGTTTACACTTAATAGTCTGATAACTGCAGAAAATCAGATTGTGTCAGTAACTGGTTCAGTGTGTTTACACTTAACAATCTGATAACTGCAGAAAACCAGATTGTGTCAGTAATTGGTTCAGTGTGTTTACACTTAATAGTCTGATAACTGCAGAAAATCAGATTGTGTCAGTAACTGGTTCAGTGTGTTTACACTTAACAGTCTGATAACTGCAGAAAATCAGATTGTGTCAGTAACTGGTTCAGTGTGTTTACACTTAACAGTCTGATAACTGCAGAAAACCAGATTGTGTCAGTAACTGGTTCAGTGTGTTTACACTTAATAGTCTGATAACTGCAGAAAATCAGATTGTGTCAGTAACTGGTTCAGTGTGTTTACACTTAATTGTCTGATAACTGCAGAAAATCAGATTGTGTCAGTAATTGGTTCAGTGTGTTTACACTTAACAATCTGATAACAGCAGAAAATCAGATTGTGTCAGTAACTGGTTCAGTGTGTTTACACTTAATAGTCTGATAACTGCAGAAAATCAGACTGTGTCAGTAACTGGTTCAGTGTGTTTACACTTAATAGTCTGATAACTGCAGAAAATCAGACTGTGTCAGTAACTGGTTCAGTGTGTTTTCATGCTCTTGGGTAATCAGATAATGGGGAAACTCCGGGTCTACATGAGTCAGACAGTAATCAGATTTCTGCTTTACAACCAGCCATTAAACTCACAGAAAAAGACGTGACGTAAACTTAACGTAAAACTCAAAGTTAATGAGCGGCCTTTTTAATAACATTGAGGCACTTCAGCAGAAAATATGAACATCTAGAAGATGAAGAATATTTAAATCCTTCATTCTGTCGAGGGTGTATTCAGTTTCAGTGTCGCTCCAAAAGTGCTGTGCTCGTCTCGCGGGTGCTGTGTTAAACGCTGCTCGCTGTTTCCGGGACAACGCTCTGTTTCACACATGCTCAGACTGAGAGAAACGAAAGAAATCAGAGTGACAGTTTACACTGAAGAACCCCATTACTGACTCAGATCCAGCCTGTTTATCAGACTTATAGACCTTAATCTGATCTAAGACATCAGAGTGTGTGCTAACACGACCACTTAATAATCAGATCACTGCAGAAATCAGATAATGATCAGATTATTAGGTGCATGTAAACACACCCATTAATTCTTTTTACATAAACACTGAGACAGCACGTCGAAAGAGGTTTCCACTGTTATTCCTGACAAAAAAACACAACAATGAAACTGTAAACACATTTTTAAAGCATTTTATAGGAAAGATTTCAAACCAGAGAAAACGGCCCTGCTGAGGTTTCCCTCACTGTTTCAGTCTAAATGTGTTTGAGTTGTGTCTTCTGTGTCAGTTTGGGACGCAATAAATCATAAAAATATGGGCTATTATTTGTGGGCTATTATGGGCTGTTCATCTCAACACTGTCACCCAGATTTGTGATTTATTTTCTTCACTTCAGTGAACAGTTTCGAACATAATCAATCAATAAACATTTTTAAATGCAGCACATAAAGAAACACTGTAAAATTTACAAACGTTTTTGAATATGATTAATCAATAAACATTTAAATCAATGAATAGTTTTAACTGTAATTAATCAATAATTTTTTTTAATTGGAGCGATTAATAAACACGTTTAAACGTATTCAGTCAATAAAAAATTATATATATTTATATAATATATTTAATTAAGAGACACGTTTTAAACAATTAAATCACTGAACACTTTTACAAGTAGTTAATCAATAAATATAGTTGAGTTAGATCGATTGCTAAATACTTTATAATAAACGTTTTTGAACATAATTAGTCAATAGACACTTTTGAATTGATTAAATCAATAAAAATTTTGTGAAAGTTATTAATCAATAAACATTTTTAAACTGGATCAACAAATAAACACTTTTACACATATTCATTCAATAAACTGTTTCAATATAATTAATGAACAGACTTTTTAAAAATGGAATCAATCAATAAATAGTTTGAAATGTAATTAATCAATAAACATTTTTAAACTGGATCAACAAATAAACACTTTTAAACGTATTGGATCAATAAACATTTTTAATATGATTAATCAATAGACATTTTTGAATCAATTAAATCACGAAATCGATTAATAAACACGTTCAAACGTATTCAATCAATAAAAATTGATCAATTGATAAAGGCTAATAAACACAAACATTTTTGAACATAATAGACTTTTTGAATTGATTAAATACTTTTCAATAAATACTTTTACAAGTAATTATTCAATGAATATTTTAACCTGATCGAGTAAATAAACGCCTTTAAATGTGATCGATCAGTAAGGTTTGATTTTCTGTCCAATAGTTTCTCCGCTGTGTTTCATCCAACCAATACTCACAACGCCATTTTGTGAACTCCCCCCCCGCGGCTAGCTCCCTCAGCCCGCAGTGTCCAATCAGCGTCCAGCGTCCGTGACAGCCAGCCAATCAGAGGCGGCTCTCCGCCCCGCGCTGACTCCGTATTGGCGGGCCGCTGCAGGAATGTAAACTATTCAACATGGAGACGGCAGTAGATAAGCTGGAGGCTTTGGTAAGCAGCGCCGAACCGAACCTTTAATCGCCTCTATTTTCACCACAAAAACACGAAACCGCAGCCCAAGCCTGGCGGTCCGCGTCTCTAGTGTTGGGGGAGGTTTCGATGGAGCGCTTCGGGCGGCTGTAAAGCGGTCAAATGTTGGGTTTTTCGTGCTTCTCTCTCTCTCTGTCTCAGCTGAGGCAGCGCTAGCCGCCAGCTTCTCTTTCGAATCGTTCCGTTCCACCTTAAATGGTGCAGCAGTTACATTGGGGTGCCTGAAGCGCCCTAATGTAACCGCTGCACTATTTAAGGTGGAACGGGAAACTTCGAACAAGAAGTGGCGAATAAGAAGCCTCGTCTAGCCGAGCCTGACCGAGCGGAGAGAAAATGAGGGAAATCGAGGAGGCAGCTCGCAAAATAGCGCCTTTATTACGGATTTAGGGTCAGTCGCGATGCCTAGCGGCGTTCCTCACAGTGTTACCGCGGATAAAACGCTGCAGAAAAGCCGAATAAAGTGCACATTTCGCTGGTTTTCGCGCCGAGTAGCGGAGAGGACAAACGAGCAGCGTTAACGTTCAGAGCAAAGCGCGTTCACGGTGGCGAGGCCCCGAAGCGCGTCCACGAGAAATGAACATTCAACAGGAGCGCGAAATGCTCACAATTCATTAACGAATAACGGAAATACTCAAAATACTCAACAGGTGAGGAAACCGGCTGAGTCATCAGGTCGTTATGTTTATTCCCAGTCTTTCTGAAAGGGATTCTGCCCTGCTGTTGCCTTAAAAACATCCACATGTTCTAGATAACCTCTGTAAATCTCATTTAGAACACATTCAGCTCCCTCTACGTCATAGTTCAGTTCACTAGAGCCTCAAACGTGCACGTGTTCTAGATAACTTATGTAAATCTCATTTAAAACACATTCATCTCCCTCTACATCGTTTAGTTTATTTCACTAGAGCCTTAAATGTGCATGTTCTAGATAACGTGTAAACCTCATTTAAAACATACATCTCCTTCTGCATTGTTCAGTTTAGTTCACTACACTCTTAAAAAGACGGTTCTTCCAGGGTTTAGCTGGATTTAGTGACAAATATTGAATAAAAATTGTGTTCAGTTTTTGATAGTATTTTTGAAATGTAGCACTACTGGCTCTCTTTTCTCTGATCAGATGTAAATATTGTGACATTGTGTGTCGTGAAAATTAGTTGAAGTATTGCGATATTAGAATTTTTGTCATATTGTCCACCTTTATGTAAATCTCATTTAAAACACATTCATCTCCCTCTGTATAACACAGTTTAGTTCACTAGAGCCTCAGATGTGCACATGTTGAGATGCGTATTATGTATCATGATATAATATTTTGGCCGTATCGTCGACCCCTACTCCAGAGTCACAAACCCACATGACAGCTTTCTTAGCTGCCTAACACACTGAATATTCTGGGTTCTGACTGCAGTACTATGAATGCTTTGCCTACAGGTCGTTCACTATGTTCTTAACTTCCACCTGATTTTCTTTCTTTCAGGTTTTTTGTTTTTAACTCTTTCTCATGATTGTGTTCTGGAGCGAAGCGGAGGATCCTGACTCTGTTCTGTCTGTCCAGTGCCCCTTTTATGTTGTACTACTGGTAACCTCGTTATGAAAGCAGTGCAATGTTAAAAGGGCATTGGCCAGGTATTTTTCTCAAAGGTAGGGTCAGGGGTCCGTGGTCAGACGGGCCGTGCAGGTGACTGAATCCCCGGGGCTGTTAACAGGCGCTCTGACTTCATTGCACTACTGTATTGGACAGCTAGCAGTGCAATAGTATTGTCAAAGCGTCTGAGAGCAGCCGAGCTCAGAGTTTCCACTTCAGGGATGTTCAGGTTCACCAGACACACCAGACGTTTTCTTTCTGCTTCCTTCTTTTTTACTCTTTGCGGGTGTAACGATTCCCATACGGTGCACTCTCGGGTGCTAAACTGTCACTGGGGTGGAACCCTCAAGGCTCCATCTCAGTACCTTTAGTCAGGGAACATAACTGAACCATAATCCACTGAAATGATATGTTCTAAGCTGTACTGACTCCACACACCCCGTCTCGTCTCCAGGCTTTTATTTTACTGTTCTGTTTAAAACATTCGGTTATGAAAAGGTACAAATACGAACTTTTCACCTGGAAAAACTTATTTAAGGTTCACAATCAGACCTTAAACCACTGTTGGACCTTTGAGGGAACATTTACACTGTTTGTACCTTGATGAAGGATAAATGTACCTGAGCAGAACCTTTATTACTAACAGTGTATCAGAAAATGGAGAAAGTAAGTGTGTAATATTTACTAATGTGAAACTGTGCTGGCTGTGCACTGGGCTAGTATTTATCGCCATAGTAATAAATCACGCCACCATATGCTTTTCCGAGCACATCATAGATATCGACAGTGCTTAAAACATTTCCCAACTGCATGTTTGATTAAATTGGTCATGTATAATTGGATTCAGCAGCGCAGTGTATTAAATAATTAATACAACCAATCAATCATGTATAATTAATACACACACACACACTCACACATGTGTCGCTGCTGTTGGAACAAAACCTTGTATCTCCATTTTTGTCGTTTTTGAGTTTTTTGACATAATGAACGAAATAAACGACCCAAAATTACTTTTGGGGAAAAAAGTCTGGTTCCATTGACTTAGTATGTTTTTTCCTTCTCCTGTAAAGTTACCATTTTGGAGATATGAGGTTTTGTTCCGACAGCAGCGATATATATATATATATGTGTGTATGTATGTGTGTGTGTGTGTGTGTATGTATGTATATATATATATAATATATATATAACATGAAATCCGGAGTACAGTAAGGGTGAACCTCATTAACGCTGTAGCCAAGGATTCTACAAAAACGAATTGAAAAGAGTAAATATAAATTTGATAGTGAAAGTATAGCAATGAAGTGAGTAAGATCACTGTACATAAGACAGATAAAAATTAGGAAACTTTAAGGCAAGTCAGACTAACAAATCAGAACAATCAAATCAAAATATTAGGCACAAAATGAAAAAATAAAACAGGTAAGTGGAGAAAGGAAAAGAGATAAACATTACTAAGTGATTAAAAAATCTAATAAATAATACCAATAAAATAAATAAAACCAAACTCGCGCTGTGTTAAACGGTGATTCAGGGTGTACCGATCGTGAGTTTTGATGATGACATTTTAAACATGAAGGATGAAGAGGAAATGTTGAAAATTGATTCTTGGTCTTGGTATCTAAAGGAGAGTATGCTGTATCGTTGCCCCCGCAGTCCTGTCTGATTGTGTTTGCGTTAGAGGAGCTGTATGTGATCCTAATGCCCGGGACCCTATCAGTATTGTCTCTGCTGTCCTCTGTGTTCAGAGTAGTGCAATATTGCTTATAGGGTTTCGGGCTTTAGGTTTCGCCTTCATTCAGCTGCAAACCCGGCGGGATCGCTTTAGAACCTCACTGCACTTTAATGAACCTGCTGTCTTTTTTTTAAAGGGCTCATATCGTAACTTTTTTCCCTCGTATTTTATTGTTTTCCCTGACATTTGTGTCAGTTTATGTACCAAAAACAGTCACAATTCACTTTTCCAACCTCTGTTTATTCACTTACAGTTAAATAGGCTGTTTGTGCTGCTGTGTTGTTAAGACTGATGTATGTAAATGTGCTCTGTCCTGATTGGCCGTCCTGTATTGTGGCTCATTCAGAAAGTAGCCCTGAAACACTCTTTATAACAGCATGAATGGTGGGGCTAAACTGCTGTAGCTGAATGGGCAGGGCTAAACTGCTAATGAGGTTCTCTATGATACGGGCCCTTTAAAGCTCTTTGTTTATAGAGAGTTAGTTATCTAGTCCTGAATTAAGCCTGTTTGTTGCGGAAATACAGAAATAATAATCTGATCTAATCGACTTTGTATACGCTCATTGATCAAAATGCGTTGATTATTGTGCCCACCGATTTGTTCCCTCGCTGTTCTGCGATGTTGATGAGACGTTCCGGTGACGCTGTGGTGTTGTTGTAGTTCCAGAAGGCGGAGGCTGATATTGAATATGTGGAGAAGCGGCTGAAGTTTGACTTCATGACGAGCGCTCGGGAGAGCGGCGCCGTGGAGGTGAGTCACTCTGAGGAAGCGTCTGAGTTAGAGACACAGTGATCATCTGATCTCTCTGCTCTGACACATCAGACTGAATGCAACTGCTGTTCCAGAACTGTTTCTTCATTTTACCACAAGGTTCTATTTTTAATCACATTTTCAGATCAGCGCGTTGTAGTAGGGGTGGGCGAAACGTCTCAAACATCACAGTATTTAAAGACATTTTTAGTATGCATGTCTATTTTGACACAGACAGGCGTTTCACAGACAGTGCAGCAGTGCATACAATTAAATGGGACTAATTACAGTAAACAAAAGGAAAATTCAAATTAGGATTCTGTAACTTGGCTTATAAAGTAGACAATATTTTATTGTTACGACCATATATATAGATATATTGCTGTCAGAATAAAACCTTGTATTTCCAAAATGGTAACTTTACAGTAGAAGGAAAAAACCTACTTTACTTTTAATGTAAGTCAATGGAACCAAAAGTTTTTCCAGGTCATTTTGGGCCGTTTCTTTTGGTCCATTCATCATGAAATTTACACACAATATTAGGGACAACATGCATTTGCAAGTCATGTCAAAGACTGCAAACCTCATGCATTGCGCAATGCGGCCGAGCTCCCCTTTGAAATGAATATGATGCACCAAGCAAACAATATGGCAAAAATATAATAATAATCATTTTCATGAAACACAATATGACAAAGCACATTTTGCCATATTATCATGTAATTTATTAATAAATATTGTCATATTGCCCAGAACTGGGTGCCTCCTGTTGTGATTTAGCCGTTTTTGAAGATTTTTACTCAGTAAAACCTAATGCCGTTATCATGTTTTTGTATACAGTAGTAGAGGGTCTGTGCTGGTTCTACAGGAAAGCTGTTCTATCTTTATGCCTGGTTCTCTACCTTTCAGGGAAACCCCGTTCAGCTCCTGGAGAACCTGGCAGCCATTAAGGCTCGTCACTCAGCTCTGTGCGCGCAGGTGGAGGAGATCGCGGCCGAACAGAAACGCTCCATGGACTCCATCAGAGCTCACCTGGACACCACAGTGAGGCTGGTGGAGGAGCTGCAGAACACGGCCGATATTCAGGTACTTTCAGAGTTTTTTTTTTAGACGTTAAATGACACACATAGGGGCTGGACAATTAATCGAAAAGTAATCGAAACAGACATTCAGAACCTCTAACCGACGTAATCTTGCTGTGTTGGTTATTTAGATTTTTTAAATTCTGTTAATCGTTTCCCGACTCTGTGTTCACTTACTGTCCCCTTAAAAACTCACTACTGCGCGTGTATCCAGTCTGCGACATGGACATTAAGGCTCCGTTCACACAGCAGGTAAAAGTGGCCCAAATCTGATTTTCTCACCAAACCCGATTTTTTTGTTTGGCTGTTCAGATTATCTTTTAAATGTGATCTGTACGCAACATCAGTCTGAACAGATCAGCTCCTAAACTGAGCCTCATGCGCAAAAGAACAGAGCGTCACGCTGCTTCACGGCTCATCCAGAGGTAAACAATCACAACCGCCAACGAACGCCAGTCGCTCCCGGAGGATCAGCTTCATCTTCACCAGCATCACAGGCGCCATCATGAAGCTTCACTGACTGACAGCTGGGCTCATCACCCAGAATGTGTTGGAGCCGTAAAAAGGGCGCGGTCACTTCTTTGGTTCGCGTCCTCGGATTCGTTAAACTTTGCTTTCAGACTTTTAACTGTTCTTTGGCGCTGCAGCCTCGTTCTCCTGCTGCCGCGTTCGGACAACTCTTTAGAAACCTCTTCAAACACGGAGAGTTTTGAATGAGTCTCTTAATAATTTTTGTACAGAAACATCAGCCCAGATGTTTGAGTCTCAGCAGCGCGAAATTATGATGAAGGTCGAGTTGGACTGACGTGAAAGTCATGTGAATTCCGATCTGGCTGCCGATTTCACATTAAGATATGCAGAACATATTTACAGTACAAACCTCGTCAGTGAACTATGAGTGGAGAAAAAAACAAAAACAAAATAATCATAATAATAATTTGAGGTCATATCGCCCAGCACTAAACACAGGCTTTTGGGGCTTCTGGACGAGTTCCTGGACTGCGTGGGTAACGTGAGTCCAGTTCTGGTCCTGGATGCTTTAGTCCACCCCAGTTAGGTGATTTCACTGCTCAGGCACACCTGAGTGGATTCCAGGCACTCGGTATTTCATCATAGGGTCATAGTTAGTTATGTAGGAAAAATAATGACCTCGGCTAGTTAGTTGATGTTGGCTGTATAGTTGTGTATCACATGAAGAATTGATGATGATGGTGTTGTTCATATTGCTGCCCAACTGCTTTACATCACCATTGATGGTTTTATGTCGTGTCATTTTGTCAGTTTTTATGTTTGTATTTTCAAAGGAGAAGCCAAAGACTCATTTCCACAGTAGTGGGTAATAAATCAAATTATTCAGTCAAATAATTAATCAGATCTAATCTAAACTACCTTATCTATAAAGGAGCTGCTAACGAGCTAGCCAGTTTGTTCTAGTCTAAATAAAGTGACCAGAGTAGGGCTGATCGTTTTATATTTAATATTCAATTACATTAAATATATTCAATTCTCAAATCACTGGAGCTGCAATATTTATTCCAGCCTTTGTTACCAACAGTGTTGTCTTAAGTTCGTAAGTGTGGAAATGTAACCCAGTAACTCGGAGTTTGTGATCTGCCTGAAGACGATTCAGAAGCAACCGAAAATCCACATGCTGTGACATCACAACCATGAATAACTGGCCGTCCGACAGTGTTCACAATCAACATAATCGCGGTTCACAATATCGGTTAGAAATATCGCTAGATTAGATATTTTGCCCGAATCGTTCAGCCCTACCAGGGTATAGATGTGTCCAGCTGATTGTGGTCGGCCAGTCTGAAGTCCAGATCAGGTACGCCTCAAATTTTTCTCTTGTAGTGTTTGTGGTGGGCCGAGGACCAACAAAGGCAAAACAGGCAAGTCAGAGCGTCTGTAGAGGCTGTGTTTCCCGTAGCAGGTCAGTCAGACGGAGAGTTTCGTACAGTGTGAGTCTATAAATCGTAGCTTTGTCTGAACACGATGGTCTATTAAACGGACAGTGAGAGTCACCAAAGAACAAGATCTCTAACATCACAGGGTCTGTCTGGCTTTAGAGGACATTCAGCTACAGCTCAACCAGCCAATCAAACGACTCCAACAGGACAGAAAACTGGAAGCGTGAGCTCCTCGGATGCGTCAGCCTCGGATGTGATTCCTGCTGTCGCTGTGCTGCTGCTGAAAGAGACAGATGAGGATCAAAACTATGAAAACTACTTTACTTTCAGCTGCACAGAAGAGCTTTTCTGACGGAGTACTTAAATCGCGAGTACTTAAACATGTACTCGTACTTGATATTCCAGAAGTGACTGAACACCCGTCCTGTCCTAAAACCGTGTGTTACTGTTTCTTTTAGGTTCCTCCCCTCAGCGAGGCAGAACAGGAGGCGAGAGATGCTCTCTGCTCGTCAGTAGCTGCTCTTTCTGTCGAGGTCTGATCACATTTACATTTATTATCTGTTTTATATCTCTGTTCTGTCAATGTAACTGTATACTTTATACATGCTGTTATTCTATATTCTAGTTCACTTGTATATCAACTAATAGAACACCACAGGTGTTGAGTTTGGGGGGTCCCACACTGTACACATTTTCCTGGACTGAGGAGCCTTTTCCATTGTTTTCAGTGGGAGAGATGTGCTTTTGTGCTGGCGTTTCATGTCTGCAGAAAAACATTCAACAGTAGAGCTGGGCAATACGACAATATTTATCATTATCATGATAAATTACATCACAATATTCTTTCATGATCATATCGTCAGCATTTAAACTGTTTCCAACTGCATGTTCACTTACAAAGGGAGTAATCAGTCCTGTTTAACATGATTTAGTGCTGCAAGGGATGTAAAATTTTGAATATGAATCACTGTATTCATAATTTGATGGCATTTTTTAATTGTGGTACAACGATTGTGTCTTCTCCAACTCAGCAGACAAATATATATTGTGATATGAAAACTAGTATTAGTATTTAATATATATAATTATACTAGTGTTATATGCTGTATCGCCCACCTCTACAGTACAGTGACTGTTCTTGTCACTAAGTAGATATAACAACACAGGTGCAACTTTTCAGCCAATCAGACTGCGTGGGCGGAGCTAGGAGGTTGCTGTTAATTTTCATGCTGTTTGTTTTCGTAGGCGCCGTCTGACCCTCTCGCTCAGGAGGAGAATCACTGTAAGTCTGAGACGCTTGATAACAGAAAAGCTGGCGCTCCGTTTAGCCGTTAATCCGTAATGTTTCATCCACAGTGAGTTTGTGTCTGTGTTACTGAGATCTTCTCACAAGATCTGAAAACCACACCTTAAAACAAATCTAATAACAAACTTATCGTCTTCTTATTTGGGATCTTATGAAGAACGATAAATTAAATAATTTGAACATTTTTTTCCCTGTTTGTTCTTTTATATAATTTGTATACTGTGTGTAGACGAAGTATTTTAAAGCTAATTATTAATATCTATATTATTTATATAACTATAAATATTTTAAAATATTTTTCACTTGTGACACATTATTGGTTTTGGTTGACTTCCTTAAGCCCTGTTCGAACAGGGTTAGTTGTCCATGGGGAGGCGGGTTAAAGCCAGTTACCCTCGGTCTGTAATGTTTATGAGGACAGGATAAGCTCAGAATAAACGACCGAGATGGAGCGACTTCTCGATTTACACACCGCCTTTATCCCATTAAAGAGATGTTGAAACATTTCATTTAGCCGTCACGTCGTTTACTCTAACCGTTCAGGCGTTCAGCGCATCATTAGCGCTGACATTAACACAGCAGACTTCACCGTATAAAGTCAGACCTCTTCCTGCAATTTTAATGTTCTGAGTTGAACACGCGCAGACTTTACATATCTGCTGATTTTACCCACAGAGAACACGTTCAGGTCAGACTGTGTTAAAGAGCCGTGTGAGATTTTTCTTACCCACTGCTTTACGGCTCTACGGCGAGTCTCCTCACTGCAGAGACGGTACTGATCTCCTGCTGTCTGAGCTGAGCCGAACCTCATCACTGTATCTCCTCTCTGTTAATACTCACTGCAATATATCATAACCTGCTGCTGTAATGACTCACTGCACACTTTACACTGTAAACACTGCGGATACTCCTAGTTACGTTTATACTCACTGTGCTTTTAGTTTATCTCACACAAAATACAGACAAATAAATACAACAGATTTGTCTCATACGCTATGTGAATATGCAAATAGATATACTTTATTTCTGCTCTTACACTTATGTCTATTTTTCTATTTCTATTTTCTGCTTAGTATATGCAAGTTTATGTGAAATCATATGTCTTGATACTGAAAGAAAAATTTGCCTTTGGCATCCATCCCTCCCTCCCTCCCTCCCTCCATCCCTCCCTCCCTCCCTCCATCCATCCCTCCATCCCTCCCTCCCTCCATCCATCCTCTGCAATCTCTGTAAATGTAGCTTTCTCTCAGTTTCAGTCTCATGTTTGATTTTGAGAAGCGACACTGTCTTTATGTTTCAATCCAAGATCAACGTAATATTCAATGAGCTGCTCCAAGTCTTAAAGCAAAGCACAGCTTTTGCAAGCAGTTGCAAACTGTTTACATCATAATGCAGAACAGTTGCGAGGGAACGCAATGTCACCAACCTCTAACCACGGCCCCTGAGGGGCTCCGTAGGTTCACACGGGATTAATGTAATCTGAGCTCATTTCTACGGCTCGTTCTATAGAAGGTAAAAGGCGCCGCGGTCTGTACTGAAGCCGGAGCGCAGTTGGTAAAAAAGACTGACGTGGTGTTTTTGGACGGGACTAGAATCACTGAGAAACACCAGTAATGATGACGTTACCCTCCTCCTCATGTTAAACTGATCCTGCCTGAAGAGGGCTTTAGAGTTTACAGTGAAAACTTACAGAATAAACAGTAAAAATAATACAAACTCTATTCTAATTTTAAAAAGGCAGAAAAGCTAAATATTGGTAAAAAATATTGGCAAAAAGTCTAAAAGGTGCTTCTTTAGACTTGGTTGATTCTGTAGGGCTGAACAATCGATAGGTTTTATATCGAGTTCAATCCTCAATCAGGCATCATCTTATCGAGGTTTAAGTGGGGAAATGTAACTCTGAGCTGGTGAACTGGCGCTTTATATTCAGTGCTCAGGCCTCTTTTCAGAAAAACAGACGCGTTTTGGCAGAAAATAAAGGGTCTGGAGCTGAATTTACAGACATTTAAACCACAATCTTTTACCCAAGTCGATCAGTCTGAGGTCTCTGACGCTGACGTGCTGTGATCTACAGACAGGATCTTTATGTAAACAGTCGTTTGTGGAGTTTCCTGAGTCGATGTTTCGTGTGTCCGGCAGCGCGGGTTCCGGAGGTGACGGACGCCGAGTTCGAAGCCGTTCCACGAAGCGTGCGAGGAAACGTGAAGCTGACTGACCTCAACACCCTCTACAGACAGCTGACAGAGCACTTCTCAGAACAGAACAGGTGAGGATCTGGGCAGAAACACCTCGCAGTGCCTCCTTCACAAAGGCTCCCAATTTAAACTTAAAATTTTAGGAATGGCCACTTTGGAAACCTGTAGACTTCAGAATCACTCGCAGACAGTAAAACACAGTTATCATATCAGGTGTGCTGTACAGCGGTCACTGTCCATTACATTAGCTGCTCTGTAAAACAGTATAACGTTGATTTTGTAAACATAAATAAATAAACACTTGATGACTTAGAGCTTAATGAGTTAGAGGTATTTTATGAAAATGAGATGAAAATCATTTTTAATTGTTAGTAAAAACTGAGTTGTTGCATTGTTTGAAATGTTTTGCGATGAGTTAGGGTTAATAATTCATTTTATTTATTCATTATTTCTAAGTTTGTATATTTGCACGTCCAAGTTTATAAAACTGTGACATGTGGCATGAAAACCTGTTGCTGAAACTCCTTACAGCTCTTTAAAAACTCGTCTTAAATTTTATAAACCTTAATAATAAACCTTATAAGCCTTAAAGGTAATTAAATAGTGAACATTTGAACTGATTGGCTCTTAATTACAACATTAATTTCATTAATTCATCCATGTTTTAATTTTCTTATTTATACCAAAATAATACATTTGGGCTCATTAGAGTCACATTTCTGATACAAAACAAAACCTCACACTGCCTTTAGACTGACCTCTGGGACAGTTTATCAGTGCCATAACTTTTGCACAGGCCACATTTTATGTATGTGTTTATTTCAGTATGTAAAATTAACAGCAAATAATCAGTAATTGTGCATTAGAATGTGCAGAGGTGTGTTTTCTGTAAGAGGACGTGTTCACCTAAACGTTTATATGAGACTTTAATCAATTAATCTCACCAGTTATTTTAATGATTTATTAAATAATCAGTTTTAAAGGGCCAGCGCAGTGTTTGTCCAGTGTTTGTCCTACTCACTCAAAATGTTCTGTTAGCAGGATGTGTGTGATTATCTCTGTCCTTCTGCTTCAGTCCAGCATTTATTGGGCACTGCAGAGCTCAGAAAATGACCTCTAGGTTTGTTTTATTTGTATGCTGCCCCCTAAGTAACGTTTAGGAATTACACTTATTTGGTCTGATCTTAGACATCACAGATAGTCACAGCGAATCATAACCTGCCTTATTTTGCATATTCATGAACTTTGAAGTCAGCTGACCCTCCCACACTTCACACTGCGCACTGTGCTGGAGTAACGTTGTAGCTGATAGAAGCACTCGTTTAAAAACACTCAGTTTTGGGATGAAAGAGGGAGAAGGTCACTCCACATTTAGGAGATACAGATTTACAGCTAACGTTGTGAGGCTGAAGTCGACTTCCTGTTCGCCAGCGTCTTGTTTGAACTCTTCCGTTCCAGCTTAAATCGTGCAGCAGTCACATTCTGGTGCTGCACCGTTTAAGGTGGAACAGGAGAACTCAAATAAGAAGCCTGAGGTGTCAGAATGTAAGTGATGCACCGTTTAAGGTGGAATGTAAGAAATTCACGGAAGAAGCTGGTGAATAAGAGGCCGACTCCAGTTTCGTGTTAGTTTTACAGCTGAAACGCACAAACTTTGATTGGCTGTCTTTGAAACAGAAATCTGTCCGTTAAGCAGCTCCGCTGAGAAGCTGCTGCAACACTGCGCTTTTCAGATTCATATAAATGAGGCTGATCTGATGTCCAGCCTGCGCTGTACTGACTAACTGGGTGGTTACGTTTGACGCAGAGGCTGTCAATCTGCTGGGGTCCATGCCCACATAGCAGAGCAGTAAGAGGCGACAGAGACAAAAAAAATACAAAACACTCCTTTTAATGACGTTTTAGGGAAAAAATGAGAAGCTAGTGGAAATATTTATTTTTCACAGATTATTATTCTCCATGGAATATTTTGGTTTTTCCGTCTGAATTTACAGCCCCAAATCTTATGGCGAATTATTCAGTAACTTGAAATACATGTAGTGTTGGTGTTTTTTTGTAAAAGCAGTTTTATGATCATAAACATAATGCCGTGTGCCGAAAGTCTGAGATGCTCTTTGTATTTTTTTATAAAAATAATTTTTGCAGCGCAGATCACTGAAGAGACGCCACCTGAGATCCAGTTTGTAGCTCAGATTTGTGGAAAAATGGGTTTTAGTGGAAAAAAAATGTGAGTTCAGCTTCTTTTATTAAAAGGGTTTAAAATTACATCACGGAAAGAAGACAGTTACAGCTCTCATACGACCCCCACCTTTAGAATGTAGCTTATGAAATATGAAAGTTTTGAAGAACATGACGACGTGTGTTTTGATGGAGTTGGAGTTGAAGCTGTTCAGGGCCTTTAAAAACATACTGGACCGTAACAGAACCATGAACATCGTTTAAAGGATTCTAAAACACTTTACTGGAAAACCAGGAAACCTTCAAAGAGACTTTCTACTGAGAAAATATTAAACATTATGTGGTAAAAAATGCCCAGAAGGAGAACTTAAAGCATCATTATCATCATGTAAATTGCCAGCTAATCATGGTTGATCAACAGTAAATTTGAATCTTCTTCTAAATGGAGTGATTCTTTATGCTGCTGCCAGGTTTAATGCTCTGTGTTGCTGTTCCTCAGAGCGCCGCTGAGCTCGCACAGGATGAAGAAACTCAACATGAAGGTCAGCGACGCCGCCGTGAAAACGCTGCAGCACCTCTCGCTCATCGAGGTGGACAAGAAGGGAAACGTGTCTCTGAGCTCCAGAGACTGAAAACGACCAGAACGAGACTGTTTGACCCCACAGCGTCCGCAGCGCTCGGCTGACAGGCTAACAGCCCCGTCCAGCCTCCTCAGAGGTGAACGGAAGATTACATCGTTATCCGCTTTCTACGTTCATTGTTAGCCACGTTAGCATGTTTGGTCAGCTGTTGGACAGCGATGCCGGTGAGTCTCAGAGTTTAAAGGCTGGACACGGAGCTGCGCGCTGACCTCTGTCAGAGTGGATTGTTTATTATTTCATACAGTTTTTAATAAAACAGCTGCAGAAATCGGCGCCACACAGAGATCACAGCAGATCAGTCAGCACAACTAAAAATCTGGAGAACTATTTTTATACAGATACTTAAAAATGAGAATCACTGCAAAAATGACGCCTTCGTGAGTGAATATCTGTGATATTTCTCATTATGAAAATTACTGTAAGAACGTTAAAGATTAAACAACCTGTTTCTACACATTTTTACTGAACGACTTAAGCCAGTTACACAGTCTAATTTAATCTAGTGAAACACTGTTACACTGGCAGATAAGGATGCATGGTTAAGAAATAATGCAGATAATTTGGCTTATTTTAAGAAATAATGCAGATAATTTGGCTTATTTTAAGAAATAATGCAGATAATTTGGCTTATTTTAAGAAATAATGCAGATAATTTGGCTAATTTCAGGAAACAATGCAGATAATTTGGCTAATTTCAGGAAACAATGCAGATAATTTGGCTTATTTCAGGAAACAATGCACTCAGTGTTGAAGACACAAAATGATCTTCCAGTAAAATAAAACACTTTCAGTAGAAAAAAATATTTAAAACGAGTCAAAATGTACAACAGTCTCCTAATGAGGAATATTATAGTGACTAGAGGTATATAGATATTAATATGCTATATTTTTTGCGGTGTATGAATGACTGTGTGGGGATTTAGTGTCCAGATTCCCAAAAGAGGAATTATTTTATTAATGATTTGGTTAAAAGGGAACCTGTGCGCCGTGTTTGGACTCTGAAAGCACTCGGCGTCAGTGTAATTTCAGTGGATGAGGAATATCTGCTCAGAAACGCGCCGTGTGGGAACGTCTGGACGGATTCAGTCAGTTAAAGGTCAGTGAGTCTGACCGCAGCCCTGCAGGACGAAGAGGAGGATCTCTGTGAAGCTCTGAGTCACTGACGGGGGAGATTTACTGTGTTTATATCTGTATTTGTTCAATTAAAGCATCGTCAAACCAGAAACGCCTCAGTCTTTATTAAAGCTCTGATTAACAGCAACAACATTTATTGAGCTTCAGGACAACACCAGAAAATATGAAATTCACAGAAAGAAATTCATTTCTACTGTTAATTTAATGATGTGAACTTATTTTAAAATTCATATTTTAAAAAGATCATGTTTAAGTTCTTTGTGTATAAATATCTAATAAATCATTAAACAGTGAAGAAAGTGCTCATTTATGTTTCCTATTTAGGAGAATTCCACCTATTTTTCAAATTCCCCCATAATTCAGTGTGTGAGGTGTAAACAGAGAGATTCAGAGTGGTTTGGTGTGAAATGGTTCAGATGTCTTTACAGTGGTGGTGATAGGAACCAGGGGTCGCCATGACTACAACACAGATATAGACATTTTATTTACTATCCAGAACCACCAGTGAACCTACACGAGTCTTCTGAGTTTATATGGAATGTTGATGATGGAAAATAGTGGAAAATCTGAAATAATAAGTTTTCTTTGGGGACTATTTTGCCTCACAGCGCCCTGCATGTATCCCTCCACCATGAATGGAGTTTAAGTTCTCAAAACTATCATAAAACAGTGTCTCAGTCATCAGGCAGTGAATTCATAACCATTTCATGTAGTAACTTTCTGTGAGGGAGCTTTTAGAGGTGGACGTCTGGTTCCTATCACCACCACTGTGAACAGTTCTGACTCGGTAAGTACTCTGAACCACTGTTTACATCTTAACAACTTAATTATGGAGAAATTTAGAAAAATGGGTGGAGTTCCCCTTTAAAAACCTGCTGTAACATAACAGGAATATAAGTCGTTTAGATGCTCACAGTCTGAAAATGTTTACACGTGTTAGTGTTTTTACAAAGAACATAAGCAGGGGTTTCAGCTGATGGAACAGAAGTATCTAGAACACTAAATAATTAAACAATTGAGGGGAGTGTTTTGTGGAACCTGTGAAATAATAAACAGAAATCTTTAAAAAACTGCACCATCAACATTAAAACGTTAAACACAAACTTGCAGAGGAAATTCAACGTGGAACTCTGTGTTTTAAGAGTCTCTGGCAGTTTCTAAATCACATTAAAATGGGTTAAAATGCAGAACGAACAAACACTGCAGGACAGAAACGAAGAGCTGCTCTGCACCTCATTTAAACGTGTACGTCATTTCCACAGTATTACCATACATCAACAAACGCTAAACAGACGTAAACTGAAAGACATCAGTGTCAATATACACGACCAATCGAAAGTTTGGAGTCACTGTATCAAATAAAACCAAATATGTTTCAGATAAATGTATAAAAGATTGTCATCTCGTCCTGAACACCTGAGAACACTGTAGAATCAATAAATACTAAAATTATTAATGAGAACTCATCATATTTCAAATCGCACAGCAGATAACTGGACAAAAATACTGTAAATAGATAATCAGCACGTTATTTATCATTTAATAACCTTTTCTTTGCAAAATTGTTAAAATATTGAATAAAACAACTAAAAATATCTTTAGTGAATAGCTGATATAATATTATTGAAACCACACTGTAAGTTGTATGTAAAGTAAAAAGATGTTGATATGAGGACGGACTGACTGATGACCGTTAGCTGCAGTGATAACAGTGAAATGTTTATGATAGATGTGGAAATGGTTTCCTCATTTAAACCAGGTGAACTGAGCGTGTTCTTTCTCAGTGGACTAGTTTCTGGATTTAAGGCCGTGTGACTGAGAGGTTCTGGTTCGGCTCGCTCTGCGTTTTGACGGGCGTGTGTTCCAGGATGATCACTCTGTGGACGAAACAACAAACGCAGAAGCTTTAAAGAACCCATCAACGCTGAACGGCTCTGTGAGGCGTGAACGCTCGCGCTGTACCTGTGCGGCCGATTCCAGACGGCGGGACTTCCTGTCTCTGTTTTCTCTCCCTGCTCTTTCACAAAATCTGCAGAAAACAAACAAACAAACAAACAAACGAAGCGTAGAGCGACTGTGTTACTGCTGCACTTCTGTACTACTGACTGCAGTTTGCATGAATGGTGTTTCACAGCGATGCAGGTTATAATCTTTTTTATATGCTCACGTTTGGATTTCATAGATTATTTTACATTGTACAGATTGTTTAGAGCAGGAGCTCTGCGTATTTACTCTTTTATACAGGGTGATTCAGAAAGATTGATCCGATTTCAAAATGATTCATTTCACTTGTAAATCATTACAGATCAATGCAGTGAACTGTAAATGGTTTAAATGAGCATAAAGTTTATTATGTAATTGTACAAGGTCTCAGTCTGAACCTCCTCCAGCTGTACAGACAACATCAACACCACAGTCAAACTCATCCCATACTGGATTGAGCATGTCGGGTGTCGCTGCACTCACGGCTCTTTCAGTGCGATTTCGGAGATCATCCAGTGTTGTGGAACCAACGCCGAACGCTCTGAGCTGTTGGAGCTTCACTGCTCACGAAAATCACACTGCACAGTTATGACGGATTCACTCTTATTGAAGTGGAGAACGCAGAACGCTTTCTGCTCACGGGTCTCATCTCCTCTCAGACTGAAGGGAGCCATCTTCCACTGACAGAAACTCTATGACCCCCTCTTGCAATTGGATTGTGATTGGTTCCTAGGCGCCTCACGGTTGGAAGAATATGGCGCTTTGAAATCAGATGAATCTTTTTGAATCAGCCTGTATATTGATGGAGACAAGTGTAGCGTAACCATGGAAATGAGTGGATTGTAACCATCGGGCGGTTTCACACTGGAGCTTTTTTCCAAACCCATTCCGACCATTCTGCAAACCTGCACTCGGAAAAGTAACGTATGGAATTGCGCAATCAATCTCTGTTTCAGGTGGAATTTTAGGTGTATGAAAGCAAACCAGCGATGAGCTCCTCCCCTAAATGAGCCCAGAATCCGTCCTGATGTGGACTCGAACATTCAGGATAAGTGTCAAAAAACCCTTAGAAACAGGCATAGAGTAACAACAGAAATAAGTGTAGAGCCCATGTGTCAAACACTAGGCCCGCGGGCCGGTTCAGGCCCGCAACACAAACCTATCTGGCCCGCAAGAGTATTTTAATTTTCTATTAATATTAGTTTGTTTCACAGTACACTGCACTACAGTCCCCAACATGCACTGCAGCGTAATGCACAGTTACAGCTCAGTTCTACACAATTCTACACAGTTCCACACCACTTGCATCACCAAACAACTGCAGTTCAGCCAATATAAACACTGAACGTCAGCTCAGCATCTCAGAAACTGAGCCCAAGCATTGATGAATCTGCAGCAAACAGAAGATGCCAGGGGTCTAAATCAAGCAGGTGGGTTTAAATGACCGAGCACCTGCAGACATTTACATTTTGAACAGTTCAAGTTTTCATGTGCCGGTAATTTCCTGTTTACGTTTTTGCGTATTGTGAATAAGCAGTGGTCAGTTTGGTTTACAGCAAGATGTTAATTAAAAAAGAAATAAAACAGATTCTCTCTGGCCCACGGATTCGTTGATATTTTTAAATATGGCCCTTCTAGTGGTTGAGTTTGACACCCCTGGTGTGATGTATGTGTAATGAGTGTAACCATGAAAACCGATGTAACGTAATAATGAAAACAGGTGTGATGTAAGCGGGTGTAGCGTAACCACGGAAACGGATATGATGTAACAGTGGAAACAGGTGAGGGTAACCATAGAAACGGGTAAATCCCCCTGATCCATACTAGCAGAGCTGCACTGTTTACAGATTCCTCAGAAACGGGAGGGTGGTCCCTCAGTTGAAGGTAGTTAAAGGCGCGCCTACACCTGCTGACTCACCTGAAGAAACCCCCTCATTCTCCTCCACTCCTGTACACACGGCCCCCTCGCTGCGGTCTCCTGCTGGACACACACACTCCTCTTTGACCTGCACGTCCTCCACTGCATCACACACACTGAACACAACACAGGTTTGTTAAAAAAAACAAAACAAAAATATTCCTCTTTTCTATTCCAGAACCGGGTCAAGTGGACCTGCATGAAAACAACAGAGCTATAAACATATGATTTAAATGTTTACATCACTTCCACCCTGTCAGTTCACTCACTTTTGACAGTGATTGGGTTGGTGTAATACTGTTGTAATTAGTAATTGTAATTAATCAATAATTAGTTATTAAGTATAGTATTTAGTACATATATAGTATAATATAGCTAATAACTAGTAGTGGAAATGATACACATATTTACAGCAAGTACATGTGATTAGTTTTGTATTTTTTCATTATTAGTATTAATTAATAGTATTTAATTTGCCTTTTGATGTTCTGAAACAGGAGCATTGGACTCGTCTGCTGATGTATTATCCACTCATTTTCAATGACAGTGTCTCTAATAATATTATTAAAAGTAAATAAAGACGTATTATGTTGGATCATCACTGACGCCGTCATCTCCTCCGACGCAGGCTCTGGTTCCTTAGGGGCTCTCTGGTTCTCCATCCGCTCCACCAGCAGCCGCTGCAGAACCTCGTCCAGAGTGGAGTGAGCTCTGTGGGGTGGACTGGAGGTCAGAGGTCACAATGATTTACCTCTGATGTGTGACTTTACAGTGAATGTTGTGAAGTTGTTCAGTCTCAGCCGTAGCCGGTGATTTAAAGCATGCTGTGATTTTAAATTCATCATTTCTGACTCGTAGCTCATTAAAACAAAGTGAATTGTGCAGCAACAACTTCACTACCTTACATACACTCGTGTGCAGAAGTTTGGGTGCCCCTGCTCAAATTCTACATTTTGTTGATGTTCTAAGTGTAAATAAGTTCTAACATCCTCTACAGAGACACACTTCTGCACGTTTAAATTACTGCGTATTCACTGAATTGAAAAAATAAAACATAAAATGTGGCCTAAGCACACAACTGTATCAGACTCTGACCATTAAATACAGTTTCCAGCACTGGATACTGTCATCACAGGTGGGTAATTGATGGCCAATCAGTTACATCAACTAACATCAAATTCAATTAACTA